GTAACAAAGGGAAGTATAGATTCATTGTCAAAATTTTTGTCTTTTTGCATCATTGTTTGTATCTCAAGACTATGAATGTGTAACTTTGAATGTGTCATATTGGTTGATTCCAATTGTATAGCCGTACTGGTTTATTAATATATGACTTTTAATTCTGCTTTATCTTTTTCGATTTGGTTGTGCTGGTAAAATTTCAATAGCAAATATAATATTCCGTGAGTTGGAATGGTATTACAATCGCCTTTAATATGGTGATCAAGTATTTGTCTTTTAATTCTTATTTCGGGAAAATCCTGTATACATGGACTTTTTCCTTTTTTGAATAGATTTGAAATTAAGTTATGCATCGCTTTGTGGATGTGTAACTAAGGGAAGTATAGATTCATTGTCAAAATTTTTGTCTTTTTGCATCATTGTTTGTATCTCAAGACTATGAATGTGTAACTTTGAATGTGTCATATTGGTTGATTCCAATTGTATAGCCGTACTGGTTTATTAATATATGACTTTTAATTCTGCTTTATCTTTTTCGATTTGGTTGTGCTGGTAAAACTTCAATAGCAAATATAATATTCCGTGAGTTGGAATGGTATTTGGTATTACAATCGCCTTTAATATGGTGATCAAGTATTTGTCTTTTAATTCTTATTTCGGGAAACTCCTGTATACATGGACTTTTTCCTTTTTTGAATAGATTTGCAATTAAGTTATGCATCGCTTTGTGGATGCGTAACAAAGGGAAGTATAGAGTCATTGTCAAAATTTTCGTCATATTGCATCATTTTTTGTATCTCAAGACTGTGAATGTGTAACTTTGAATGTGTCTTATTGGTTGATTCCAATTGTATAGCCGTACTAGTTTATTAATATATGATTTTTATTTCTGCTTTATCCTTTTTATCGATGATTGTGTTGTGGGTTCTGAGTCAGAAAAGTATTTCTGTTGTTTTATTGGATTACTTTTATATATTAAATCTTTTAGGTTCTGAAGTTTTTGTACTTTAGTTGTTTCTGATTCCGAACCTGCGTTATGTGGTTTTTAAAATTTTCGTTTTATAAATTGTTTTTATATAATAAGTTTAAGGATGATGAATGCAAAATTCAGAGGTTAGAGTTTTGATTTCTTAAATTGTTAGTTTTTACTGTTTTTGTGTGATTATCTTAACTTGGAGCATAAATTTTTGGGGTTGACGGGTTGGAGAGAGAGAGTATATCAAATCGTTAGAATGATGTTTTTTCTTCTCGTGACTAAATTTTTTTTATTAGAAATACCTGCTTAATTTTACCCAGGGGTTTGATTTGTGATCAAGGGCTGGAGAATACTAAATCAACCCATGAGGTTCAGGTATTACTAGAACACAGGTAGATCGTTAGATACTATTTTATGACTTACTAATTATTTAAGGTTTTAGCCTGGGTCATCTAAGAGGAAGGGCTCAGGCGAAGGGCTGACTAACCGAAGTTCTTCACTGTTTATCTTAATTTTAATGATTAGTTTTTTTTAATTTCTATTAGTCCTGGGATGGACAGTGAATCGACGTTTTACGTCGTTAGACACTTTAAATTATGAGGTGGGTAGAACAAAATTGTTCTGATTGATCCTAGGAAAACCGTGATGATCAGTTGATTTAAGTGGAAAAAAAACTATTTAAACTTAGATTAAAGATCCAAGGAAAGTTAAGGATGAATCATGGGTTTAAAATTGTATTAAGTGTTTAAATTTTGAATGATGTAAATTTTTGAACAAATTTGGATATGTTTTAGGTGATGAAGCTGAGATGAAGAAAAAGTAGTTTCTTTAAAAGCCAGAAATCTTTGATAAGTTTAACAAAACTAACATTAAATTTGCCTACTAACTAATTGTTGTTTTTTTTGTGCGATAAATTTTTGATTTCAATATAAGTTTTCAATATAATGTACAGCAAAAATTAAAAGGAACGACTTGTGCGTCTTTTTATCTGTCGTTATTGTTGTTCTATATTACGGCTATAAAGCACCAAGTTGTTTTCTGAAGAAGTTAGGTTATTCTTCAAACAGACTAATTTTGATGTCAATAATTGAAAATTTAAATTTACTGCATAGAGGAATCTGAAGACATATACTTTTTGCGGTATGGGTCGTAGTATCATGTAGTCTCTTGGTCCGTCGTTTAACCCATGTTCACGCATAGAGGAATCTGAAGACATATACTTTTTGCGGTATGGGTCGTAGTATCATGTAGTCTCTTGGTCCGTCGTTTAACCCATGTTCATGATCTTGGTCTTTGTAACTGTTACAATAACTGTTTTTTTCTCGTATTCTTTGAAACATTGGTGTAAATTCATTGAGAGGTAGAGACATATCTATTATTTTGTCTATTCCATCTAAAATTTTTGCAACTTTGCAAATTTGGTCTTTTCCTAATTCTAATTTGCTAAATCTAGGTCAGTTAAGGTCTTGTTCGAGACTTTTGGTCGCACCAGATGAGTTTAAGCCAGATGTAGCGTTCTCATAGAGTAATTTCAGATAAGGTACACCGTCTTATTTTTGGCCGTAGAGATTCGTGCAACTTCTTAGTCTAATACCAATCTTATTCTTACCCTTATATTTCCTAGTCTCAATAGATCTCATGTATACTGGTATTCGCGAGTTAGTCTTGGAGCTTGTTCAAAAGGAGAAATACTGTAGTCTCAGCACTTACAAATAATTGTCAGTGTTAGTGATGGAATATGATTGGTTAATATTTTATAGAGATAGTTTTTGAATATTATTGGTTAATAAATTCTAGTCCGGATTTGGTTCCATTTTCCTGGAAAAGAGGATACTTCTTCTTGCGTTTGCGTTCTGATTATGGGTTTAAATTTAAAAGTGAAAATAATTAGAACCTATTGTCTACAAAGAGTCATTAGACGCTGTTTATTGTAATTGCTAACAATTAGTTTTTGGTAACCCAAAATCAAATCTTGATGATTCTAACTAATAAATATTGGTTTTTTGATTGGGTTGAACTACAAATCGAAATCAGTGGGATCGTTAGACTTGATTCAAAGGACAATCGATGAGTTTACTAATTGACAGGAGTAAAAAAGAAGTAGATCCAAGAAAAGCCTTGTTGATCTGTTAAATTAATCTTGAAATTTTTTGTAGGTATTCAATTGTAGGTTTTTATAGGTTGGATTAAATTACTTAAATTAAATGTTTTTGATTTAAGATCGAGTTTTGTTGATGAACACGACGCAAAAACTAGAAAATGAAAAGTAGCCAAGTACAAGACTTAATTTGTTAACCAAAACGTTTCAGAAAAAGTCAGACAGACTTTTCTCGAAATGTATGTAAGCTAACTTGAATATGTCAAAAAAGAAGTCAAAAGCTGAATGAGTTTTTTTTGCATTTTTCCAGAAAGATAAGAAAAACAAGGAAAAAATTTCGAGAAATATAGTTTTTTTGGATTTCACTGGATGTCATTCCACAATACATAACTGTTCCGACCATTGAAAATGGGGAGGAACTTTTATTCTGGTCTGTTTTAGTTTTTCTTTGTTTTCCACGCAAAATCAAGTATCACAAATAATGACTGAGTTGAGTGATATACCATATTGAAGCTTTTATATTCGTGAGTCAAACCACCTTAAATTATTTTCAAAAAGTTTTCCCAGTGTCGAGAAAAACCGGTTTGACATTTTTGATTTTTCATCTTAATTCGAGCGAATAAAGCGAGCAAGCAGTCTTATTTTAATTGCTTAAAATTTACAATAGCTTAATTTAAAAGCTTAAAACTTAGTTTTACTTTGGTAACGTATGTTTACTTTGAGTATTTTAGCGCATTTTTGGAATCAAAATTTTCAAAAAATCAAAAAAAAAACATCAAAAACTTCAAAAGAACTCTTTTTTTCTCGTACTATTTCTACAAAAATTGATTTTCAATTTGCTTATTTTAGTATATGGCTGTCGAATACAGCTACTCCCCAGTTTTTTTTTCAGCTCCTTTTATCACACCACGCCGAATAAAAATTGACAATAATTTGAAAAAACTTTTTTTTGAGACTATTGTAGGAACATTCTGTGCTACTTGCGCAGTATTAGGCTATCCTTGTTAATACTATAAAAAATGCACTTTTTTCTGCTGTGGTATTCCAGTAAAAATTGAACTTTCAATTGCAATAAATGTGGAGAGGCTAGTTATTGAAATTGATGTTTGATAAAAAAAAATACTTTACTATCATAATCGAAGGCTTAAAAGGAGAAACTATATGATATAATTGAAACTCTGAACAGGTCTCATTTGCAGGGGCAGATTTAGGGGGGAGGCGGGGGGCGGACGCCCCCCTCCCCTCAGGGATTCGACCCCCTGCCGATCCAAAGGATCCTTGGATACTTTTTTCAGAAATCCATTTTTGGCCGAGCGACCCTAAAATTTTTCTAAAGGCGCTCTGGGCGCCAATATATACTAACTTTGAGGGGGAGCGCGCGCCACCAAAAAAAACGCGCAAAAAAACAGCTTCTTTGACTGTTTCTTCAAAAATTTGCCTGCGGCCCACAAAATTTCGCCAAAATAGGGGCAAAAAATGTTTTGGGAGAGCTCGAAAAATCAATTTGGTCGACCTATACAAAAAGGTCGTCAAAATTTTGGCAAATTTTTTGAAAATCCGATTCCCCCCCCCCTTCGAGAAAATCCTAGATCCGCCCCTGCTCATTTGTATGATCCGCATTTTTTGTTTCATGTTGACATAATAACCCATTATGTTTTCAAGGGAGGCCAGCCAAAATCAGTAAAGACCTGTCTAAAAGCATGACGGGCTCAAATGCAGAATAAAACAACTGGTTGCAGTCATTTTAAATCATATTTTGCAACTCAACTTTTGCGGATTTCCGCAGTATAGAAGAAAAAAAAGGTCTGCCAATTTTAGCTTTGGTTAAATAGTTTTACAGTACTCATTTTGCTCTTGGAACATCAGCTCTGTACACCCATTACCATGTAAAGCACTACCGTTCAAAACTCGCTTCAATGGATTTTTACTTACTTTTTCTTGGAGTAAAGACACGGTGAAATAAATTATTAGGGCTGTTCCAGAAAGAATGAAAACCAACCAAATTAGTTTCTCATAAACTGCAATAACTCGATCCAAAATAAAAAGAAACATATTCAGGAAACTTTTTTCGGTACTTTAAAAACCTAATGAACATGCAGGGCAAATACAAAGCAACCCGTACCCAGTAAATTTTCTGAAACAGATCTGAAATAATCTTTTTCAGATCTAAATTTCAGATCTGAAATAGGTTGTGAAATGTTTGAATAACGCTTGGATACTTAAAAGATTGGTTATTTCAGATCTAATTTCAGTTCTGAAATTTTCTTTTTCTTGGTTATTTCAGATCTGAAAAAAATCTATTTCAGATCTAGTTTCAGGTCTGAAACTTAGTTTTTCTAGATTATTTTAGATCTGAAAAAGCAATGATTTGGATTCAATTTAAGCTATTTTTGATTTATTTTTAGCTTCTGCTAACTACTAGCAGGTACTCAGCAATATCTCAAATTGGAGACTGCCGAAGTATGTCTCCCCAAGCATGAGATAAACATTGGACACGCATAAGTAGCGCATGAAAATCAAAAATATTATAGGTCTACTAACAGTTTTTGAAAACTTTTTAACACAGTTGAACAAGAAATTTAGTTCGAAAAAAAAACTGTTTAACAAATGATTTCTCAGATCTGATTTCAGATCTGAATATTTGTTTTTCAAGGTTAATTCCGACCTGAATTTTTTCATTTCAGATCCAAATTTCAGATCTGAAAATTGAAAATTTTTATCAAGATCTGAAATAAAGAATTTCAGATCTGAGAATCAATTTATGTAAGAAATAAAGAATTTCAGATCTTGCTCGGAAAACCCCCTGGGTACGGGAAAATAAAAAGTCATTGGCACAAAAGACTGCTCCGTATATCAGGGCAAAGCCTTGAATGTTCCGACTGCCCCTTAATCCATATCGAATATTTTTTGGGGAACAATTTTGAAAATCTACAAATTTTGGAGAATATCGAAAATCAAATTTGAGTCGAACGAAATTGTTATGACCAATTAGTTGGCCTCAATTTAATTTGGAACGATTTTTTTGTGCGGGATAATTCTCTATGATTGAATAATTTGCGTTATGCTATCAGCATGATGAACATTTTCTTCAAAGAGCACATAATTGAGTCCAGAATATGTCCAAGTTAGCAATTTTCAAAGTCCCACAATTTTACAAAAAATAATTGGAGGTGAAATATCTTTTTAAATTTTAACTCAAGACATTTAAATTTTCAATGGGTTATAAAAAATTTTGTTAAATACTATTATTTTGATCGACGAAAATTGACTGAATAAAAAAAACACACCGAGCATAAATATTCCCTTTTCTTGGAAAGTCGGAACAATAAAATTACAGTCGAGAAATAAAGAAACGTGAAAGTTATCACGTTTATGTCAACGTTTTTTTTATACAGGGGTGTAGCGATTAGCATTTGTGCCTATTAGCATGCTTTAACTGCTTCATCTGAATGTGCTTTCAGACGAAAAACAAACTTACCTAACAGTTCAAATAACTTCGAAATTCGCTTGATTTTTTAGAGGACCCGCACTAGAGTTTTCTGGAAAATTATTGAAGTTAATGGATTATTTTGGCAAATATAATCGATTTTCTTGGTCCATATAAGCATGAAAATGAAATTTTAGGGTATTTCAATCGATTATTTTTAATCTTCAAAAATCCATTGCACGCTCTTTTTGATACCAAGAGTCAAATTTTGAATTTTTCACTGTGTTTTGAAATTTGAGACAACTTTCCGAAAAAAAAGATAACCAACGATAATCCATTGAAACGGATTTTATTAGTATGATAAAAAAGAAATTGTAATCCATTTTCAATGGATTATAATCGATTATGTTCGAGGTATGAAGACCGAAATTGAAAATCAAAAAAAAATCGATCGCTTCCTATGAAACTCCAGTGTTAGGAGTTGAAAATTTACTAGAATTTAAATTCACATGCTGCTCAAAATTGAACATTTGATTAAACAAAATGTTAAATAACGCAATTTCAAATTGCGTTCGTTTTATGGGCATGCTAGTCTTTGAGGAGTTTCACTTCGGTGATTTTCTATAGGTACCCATATTCATAGATCCCAAAATAAAAAATCAGTCGCATAAGCCCCAAAAAGTATCTTCTTGAATTCTGACTGCTTTAAGTTTGAGCCATCGAATTTACGGATTGATTGTTTACAGTTCTAGCAGCCTAAACTCAAGCTGCAGAATAATGACCTGCGCCACGTGTAATACGTAAGTTAAGAAGTAAATAAAGGCAACTTTTGTTACTCTATTGTACACAATTGCTTGCAATGATGATGGAAAATAGAAGTGAGAAAGAAACATAAAAAATTGAAGCACAAAAAATTGAAATGAAAGAAACACAAACATCTCGTACATCTGGTGTTTTAAAGCAAACTTAAAAGCGTGTTAGTCTTTTCGTTTTTAGCAACGATAAAATTTGTGAAACGTTTCCAAGTGTGCTTTATGCTTGAATGATATTTCTTTGAAAACTAACGGTTTCAAAACTCTGATAGTTTTTGTAATGGAAGCAGAAATATTGTCAATATCAGCTTTTCAAACCAAAAAAGTACAATGTAAAAAAGCGTTATAATAACCAAACAAGACTGAAAATTGATCGTATCAGTATCTACTACCACTGATATTTTTCCGACTGCCCTTTATTTTGTTCGGATGTTTTGTGGTAAAAACAAAACGTTTGATTTGTTTGTTTATCCGTCTTTTTAGAGCCATTGAAAAACAAACGTTTTAATTTAAACCTTGCCGGGAATTATTACAACAAATTCATTTTAGATATTTAATACACTTGAGAATGATTTTGAAACTGTTTTAATAGATCCCGCATGCTGGGAGGGTTTTTTCCCATATAGCTCTAACCCAATCTAGTTGCATAAAAGTTATGGCACACCCCAATTTTTCGATATTCAATTGACTTCAAAACAAATGTGATCTCATTCATAATTGTATTCATACAGAAACGCATTCAGTTTTTGTTGATACAGATTTATGAGCTGCTTATAATTACGAGTGATGCCTCAATAAATAAAGGTGCACAAGCTATTTCACAGTGCACGTTTAATAGTTTCAATTGATTTTTTACTGCTGCCAATAATGGGAAAGACCCCTTAATAAATCACTACTGGACAAAGTTCAGCCCAAATTCATGTTTTTTTTTCTCCAGAAGGCCTGTTTTTCAGGATAATTTAGGACTACAATCACGGGGAATTTAAACGAAAGTTATAGATAGACTAAAAGCTACCTTCTTTGAAATTCCTAAACTTTGGTTTCAAGGAATTCCCCATTTTATCAGGGTCAGAAAAGGCCAGTTTTAACCAACTTTACTGTATTTTACATCCGGTTCAAGTTTTCTCGAATTAGTGAAGAAAAAAGTTGTTCAAGCGATTTGAAACACTCTAAGCAATAGAATTGAGTACTTCAGTGTGACAACTAAACTCAGCAAATTCCTAAAACTTCACGCGTCTTATAAAAAAAACTTAGTGCGGATGGTGGAAACCCGGAAAAAGTTGGTAAATGCTCCACATCACAAAGTGCGATTTTCAGAGAAGATAGTTCAGTTCATTCACTGTCTGTCGATGTAACTATTTTGTGATTATTTCCAGTGAAATTCGGTCAAAATGGTTCTAAAGCTTAGACATTTGAGAGAGTAAAAGCCTGAATTTGCAGCTCATTTTGTTCACTAGTGTACAATAAAAATTCGCGAGTGAAATAATTTTCTACAATAGAGCTCAAGGAGTCAATATCATCATTATTTTTTTTAGATCGTCAAGTTGGGTTGGGTCGGAATTAAAAAAACACTCTGGGCAGTAAATTCTTCGAAAGCAGTTGGTCTGAAAAAAAAACCACTCTGGGCAGCAATATCTTTGAAAACGGTAAAAAACAAATATCCTTGAAAACAGTAACAAACATTTTTCTAGATTCAGTTGGCCGCGGACTAAATATAAGGCAAATTTTGAAGCAAAACTTACCATTTAGTTACCTAATCTTGGTACAGCTATGCGGTCAGTGGCTGATTTAGGAGGAGGGAGGCGGTTGTTCTCTCAAAGGTCCCCCCTTGTACTATTATGAGATATCAACTTTTGACTGACAGACCCTAAAACTGTTCTACAGGCGCCTTTGGAGCCAATATTTACTAATCTTGAGGGAGAAGCGCGTGCCAGTAATTGCAATTTTTTGGTCAAAATTTTCCAGCCTTTTCTGGCCTGTTTTTTGAAATTTTGGCGCAAAAAAATTGGCCAAAACTGGGTCTTTTTAGTGTTTTGGGAGCGCCCCCCCCCCTCTCTCTCTCTCGCTCTAGTATCAGCTAGTTTTCTAGAGCTGGTGTATATGTCCAGATTTCAAGTACAGCGAAGATCATGAATATCTGTTTTTTTGTCATCGAAAAAAACCGGAGCATGTGAAAACATTGTTTGTTTACCAAAACCTAATACAGCATAGCAATTAATTAAGGACCCTAAGCTTAACTCCAAACCTACTACAAAAAATCAGTTGATATGAAAAAATTGCTAGTCACAATCTTAATATATGTGGGGATGCACTGCAAATCTATAACTCAGAAAGTTTTCATGAGCTTGTTGACTTCATAGACACTTACTTTTCAGTACCATTGAAACTTCATAAGCCAAGATATGCATCAAAACAATCAAAAACAGTGTGTAACGCTTTCAAAATCATGATGATATTGATTGAAGCCTGCTAGTTGATTTAATGATTGTCCTTAAACCTGTAAAAAGAACTGAAAAGTTGAGAAATAAACAATTCATTTTGAAAAATATGCAATTTTTCTCTTTTCAACGCTGGCTCGGAAACTTTTCGCGTCTTAAATTCTTAAAGCTCTATGGCTATTTGTGTCTCTTTTCTACCAAGAATCATTTAACTTCAATTGTATGAGCTGAACGCAGAAATAGAGAACACTATTAGATATTTGGCACCTAAGAGAACACTAATTTAACTTCATAATGTTTCAAGAGAAGACCAATTATCACACAGAGGCGAAACGGAGCTTGCAATACAACACAATCATAAAAAGACATAAGTCGAAAAAAATGTAAATGTTGAAAAAAACTAGGTGAACCAACATTTTCGTATGTCCAAATAAAAACAACTGGGTGTTTGATATGACATGAATTTGCTATAATGATGCGGCACAAAAATGTGATTTCAAAAAATAGACTTTGGCAAAACTGTAGTTGTTTCTCTACTAAAATAAAGGAGAAGAGTTTTATTATCGCATCCTGTTCTTTTAGCTGAACTTTTCATTTCAGATTTGATTTAGTAAGTATAAACAAAATTCAAAAAAACAGTTTACAAAAAACAGTAAATTTTTTTTCTCGCAATGTCTCTGAGTTTAAATTGAAACCACCCAAAATTAGGTCATTATGTCAATAAAAACTAGGAAAAAAATATTTAGAATTAGTTTGGGCCGAGGAATTTTTTTAAGCCAAACAAAACAGAAAGATGGAAATACGAAGTCGAGGTGAGTAAAGTTACAAAATTTAGGAGTTAGTCAAACACTAAAAGCAACCTTAAAAAATTACGTAGCAAAAAAAAACGATTTCAAGATCGAACAACTAAGCGAACAACAGATAAGCAGACAAATAATTGGCCGTCTTTTTTTTGAAACAGAAAATTTTCCATTTGAAAAAGATTACATCTCCTGGTCAGATTCAAACCCCGTACCTTTGCCGTCCCTGGCTTTGTAGTTATCTACAGGCTAAGATGGACGGGAATGCAAAAAAGTTTGAATTAATTATGAACCAAGATACAAGTGATTCTGTTAAACAAGTTGTTAAACCGAAAAAAAAAGGTCTATACTCCAGTTTGATAACGCATGCTTATCGAAAGCGTAAAAATTAGTCAAAAAATCAATCCTGAAAGTTTGAACACAAAAGTTTTGAACAAAACAAGTTTTCAAACTGAGTAAAAGCAACTCAAGTAACCAAAAGACGTAATAACGAAATATTTTATTGCTGGAACGTTTTTATGAAAGCAAGCAAAATCGTGTAGACAAAATTTTCTAGTTGAATGTCATTTGTTCCTTGTTTTTGAAATATCTGTATCTAGAAATTTCTGACTTAATGATAGCGCTTCCATTTTTTTTAGTTTGAGCTAGCGAATCGTTTGTTTTTGGTTCTGTAGAACCCTTGAACTCATTTTAAAATCTCAATCTAATTTTATTTGCCTAATACTGATGCTTTGCAATGTTTTCTGTTTCTTCTTCAAATTAAACGATGTTTTATTCTTGTTTCTAATTAGTTGAAAAAACTTCTGCCATAGGCCCACATGAAAATTGAGTGTTTTAAAAAACTTTGACAACAAAACAACTTTGCCAACAAAACAACTATTGGTAAAGAGTGCCGAAATAGAAAAATTAGTGTAGCAGTGCCGATAAAAGAAAGTAACCATTGAAAGCTGGATACTTTTTTTATAACATAATACGGAAAATTTTCAATTGTTCGAATTATTAATGATCAAGACAGCTGAAGGCAAACATTTGATTCCTTGATCTACTGCTTTTTTCTTATGTTTCGAGGTATGTCTACACGCAAAAAAAATTTAAATAAATTTTTGTTTTGCTTTAAATTTCGCAGCAGCGTTGTTTCTTTTTCAGTGAAACATTTTCTCGTAAATTCCAGTTAAAACGTTTCTTTCAGTATAACTGGTACATACAGACAGTGCCGATAGATAAACATTTTGAAACAATTTAAAAACTCGGCCGCAAAAAAAAACGACAACCAAAAAGAGTCCGATCACATCTTCTGGCGAAAAGGAGGAAATTAAGGAAAATATTGAAACTTTTGTACTGTTAGAATTCAAGCCTTGCTAGTTTATTGATTTCTCAATTCTACGACAGGCACTACTTGTGATACAGATAGAGTTTCTGTGTTCGGTTACCATACATCAGACTATAGTAAATTTTAAAAATTGCAGGAATAACGCTACATGCATTGCTTTTTAAGAATGTGGAAAACATAATTTCAAAAACAAAACATAAATCAAGCAAGGATAGCCATTTTCTGTGCAAGTGTTATAGAAATTTCAACCACTCAAAAAACATAAAAGCTACTAACCATATAATTTTTTTTAAAAAAAAACCTTTTTTATTGAAAAGTTGCTGAGAGAAAACCAATTAAATGCGTAGGTAGACAATTAATGAATAAGGCAGAATCGACAACAGTTGGCTTCAAACAATAAACAAGTAGAAAAAACTCTTAAAAGTCGTTTATTTTTTCGACAGAAAATTTTTCAGAAGCTTCCCAAACTAGTTTTTGTAGACGGAAGAAACCGGGTAGAGAATAGTCAAATAAATTCAAACGTTGAAATAAGAAACGAAATCGACTTTTCCGGGGAAAATAATTTTTGGTTGCCACTACAGGGAATCTTGTCATCACAGCATTATCTCTATTGAACCCATAATATGAAATTTGGCAGGGACGTTTTTGAGAGAAGTAAAAAAAATGAAAACGATCAAATAGCAAAAAAAGTTGAAATTTCCAAGGGCGACCCGTTCTATCCGTAAAAATCGAACTCTCAGATTGGGGAGGGCAGTTTTTGAGGAAGCAAAGATCCAAATATTCTCCCCATGTTTCTTTTGAAGGAGACAGACAAAAGGGTAAAGTAAAAGAGACAAAGATATTATGCAGACACACGGGCGAAAAGGCGTTCTTTCCATTGATACCCTTTTGATAGAAGTTAAGTAGTTTTTTTCACAAAGTGGAAAAAAATCCAAAGCGTATCAAAAATGGAAGAAAAACATGCCCCCACACATTTTAATAATACGTGTTTTATCAAATAAGTCTTCTGCGCAAGCATGCCGGGAAAAATTGAAATCCTAATTAGCAACAAAACAAGACTTTCGATGAGGAAGCAAAGCCGACAATCTTTGAACAGACAGCAGTTGAGTCGGAAAAAAAAACTGATTTTGTATTTTAAAAAAAACGTAACTCCCCGGAAATTAATACGAACAACACTTGCAACTACCATGATACTTGCTTACAGCACAAAAAAATCCGTGATGTTGCAGCTAAGACGACAAAACTTGATCAGACAAGCGAAAGTCCGCCATTTCTTTTTTAAACAAAAAAAAAATAAATATCATACATACTGAAAAAACAATGTCCTACCTGGACTCGAATCCAAGACCTTAGGGCTCAAAAGCGATCGGGTTACTTGCGGGCCAAGTGGAGAGAACCTGGAAATTTTTAAGGTTCAAATATAAAACGAGTTCTATTTCCTATCAGAAAAATTGTTTGCGATTCGCGGTTATACGACACTAGCTCTCGAAATGTAACAAGAATTTTTTTTTCTATTTTCAATGGTTGGAACAGAAAGTTTACCAAAAAATTCAACAAAATTTTAAAAACTTATGAACTGCAGCAAACTATAAAAATGGTTTTCAGATAAACTTAATGCGGCTAATAAGCCAACAAAAAAAATGAGCATGCCAACAACAGTTCAAAGTCTTTTTTTATCAATTTCTGCCAGTAAAAAGCGAAAACGATTCAACAGGATACAAAAACTAAAATTTTTTGTTGTCAAATCAAAGGTGGTACTTTTAGGCCAATTGTTTTGCTCAGCCGTTAGTCAAACTAATGTTTCAGTTAGACAATTTTCCGCCTGCAAATTTTTAAATTTAAAAAAGAGCAAAAACTTTATGATTCCACGCCTGCATTGACTGGTAGTAACCTGACATCACCAACCAAAGGGTCGACATTTTAAAAAGTTGCAACTTTGAAATTTGCGAAATTTGCAAATTTTTCTTTGAAATTCAACAGAGCCGCTGAGCAGTCATGTTTGAAGTCCATATAAACATCCTGAGAGTGCCCTAAGAGCACTCCATCATAATGTTGAGAAGTTTTTTATATCTATTTTTTGAAAAAAATATTGAAAAGCAAAACTGCATATACTTGATAATAAGATGATTTGAATCGTCACACTAGGGGGCTTCAATGAAAATTTGAGCAGAAAAGAGCTGCAATCTCTGAGAGTACCCCACTAAAGGGTTAGGAATATTGAATTTTGTGCAATTTTTTTACTTCAAGTTTTTATGGAAAGTTTTGAAAAAATGTCAAAAAATCTTTCCACTAAAAATAAAAAGATTTCAGCAGTCACAATTGGAAGCAAAATGTGCATCCCCTAAAACTATCTGGACAGCACCCACCTGGGGGGTTTTGAAACTCCAATTATGTGACATTTTCACGTGTTTTGAAAATTGTTTTAAAAATAATTTAAAAAATCAAATCTCAGAATCTAAATTTATTTAAGCAGTCACCTTTGGAGCCAAGATTTGCTACCCTGAAAAGTTCTTCGACAGCATTTGACTATAGGTCTGCGAGTTTGAAATTATGGGAATTTTTTTTTATCACAAAAAAAATTATTTCGGAAACACTCGAAATTTTTTTATCACAAAAACGTCGAATCAAGAAAACTAAAACTATAAGCATTCGTGTTTGGAGACAAGATTTGCAATGGTTTAGATTACCCTGAGAGCACCTCAGTATAACCTTGAGAACTTCAACTTTTGTCATTTTTTATATCTAAGTTCTTTGAAAAAATTATACGTCATATCTCGGAAATTAAAAGTATTTAAGCAGTCATGGTTGAAAGCAAAATTTGCAACCTGTGAGATTACCTTGACAGCACGCAAATAAAGGGTTGATATTATCACTGAAAAACTTACTGAATTGAGTACTTCCGAAAATTTTCGAAAAAATCAAAAAAATTGTGGAATTTCGTAATTTTTAAAGATTTGAGCAGTCACATTTTGAGTCACATTTTTAGTGAAATTTTTCATATCTAAGTTTTCTGGAAGTTTTCGAAAAATCACAAAACTCATCGTTACTCGTAGTTTTGGGTATTCATATTTGGACGGCCAACTCGCAAATCCTGGATGATCCCTGACAGCATCCCAATATTGGGTTATTGCTTAAACACAAAAAAAAAATTTCGTGAAACATGCAAAAAAATACGTCGAAAATGCTTAGGAAGCCCGCATTTTAAAACAACATAGATAATAGATTTTCCAAAACTTATTCTATGTGAATCAGTTAACCAATTGCTATAAAAAACCAGTTTTAGCGCGCTAAATTTCAAACAGTCGGCAACTTGACATGGCTTTATGAATCAATTTAAGTCAATAACAGGCCACATACATTAAGAATTGCTTTATGCCTCAAGTGCTACGAGTACTAATTTATAACATTGTACAAATAAAATAAGTTAATGGAAAGAAATTAAAAAAACAGACAGCGATTAAAAGCTTAGAAAATTGCTCGGAGAAATGTATTTCTTTGCTGTTGCAAAAACAGATAACTTTGAGGTCAGTTCGCCATAACTTTTGAAAAATTTTTAAAGTTTGCGAAGTATACTCGAAACAATTTTCAAGCCGAATTCAGTTGACTCATTTGAAACAAGTCATGCGGCCGAAAAATTACATCACAAAGAACTCTAGATAGACGGTTGTTAGACACATTTGGGTCGCTACTTCCAGCCCCTCAGCGGTCCACTTAACTGTAACAATCTCCTTTAAGATTTCTGCAGCGCTCAGATTTCTAATTTGTCTTAGTTTTTTTGTATCAAAATGTCAAGTTAGCAGTTCGCGCATTGAAAGCAGGGGTATCAAATGTTCCGTGTCCCGATCTATCAGCAAAATTCTCGTAATCTTTGAGAGTCATCACACTTGTTTTGTGCCTCATCAGTTTTGACTATCATGGGAATTTAAAAACCTAGACCAGTTGTTTTATGTCACAGCAACATGCTCCACAGTTACGAAGTATATTCGACATGAAAACCAAAACATAGTAACTGACAGTTGGAAAGACTAATGAACGCAAGGAAACTAGAAAATACTTACTTGTTTTTTTTCAAAACCTTCAACATTTGAACTTCGAAGACAAAAACAGATGGTCCTTAAAAATCTTTGGTTTTGTTGAATAATTTATGATGGAATTTTTTTTGTTAAAGTTAACCCAAACTGAAAAAATTTGATCAATAGATAAAACTATTATTTCGCTGAGAAATCTGATAATTAATTTCCATTTTCGAAATTGGAATTAAATCACGTATTTTGCAACCTTTACACTTTTGCCGTTTGAAAGTGGAGTTTGCCTTCCTTTTAACAAACGAAGTGCACTCAACTTAATAAGACAGCACAAGTCGAATTGCGAAAAATCAAAAGTGAGCGTGAACAAATTTTCTGAAAAAAAAACGAAAAAATGACCAAGACTATATAAAAAGACTGACTACTTTCAATATTGAATTCACCACTTCTAATATTGAAATGACAAACCAGCCGTTTATTAAAAATTTTAATCACAGTTCAATTTTTATTTTTTTTCCAGAAAAAAATAACAAATTATTTTATCGGTTTGAAACCCTTTGGTTCAGCGTAACTAAAATAATTGGAAAAAACTTGCTCGACTATTGGCACTAACACTAAAATTTGCTCGAAAAAACCAATATCGATCGATAAAGATCTAGACAATTTTCTTCCCGTTGATCAATATTTACTTACTTTTTGAGCTAAATTTCTTCACAAGTTCTTTTAAACCTAGCCAGTAGACAGTTGGAAAAGGGTTGATGAACGCAAGTAAGCAGAAAAAATATACTGACCTAAACTTTTGAAAAAATCTTTTTAGATCATAAAAATAACTTTAGAACTTCAAGGAAAAAGAGAAGCTATAAAACTCATCGAATTTCTAAAAAAAAATTATTGTTGAATTTTTTTGATAAAATAAACCCAGTTTGTGAAAACTGGACCATTAGGTAGAGTTTTTGTTCCGCTGCGAAATCTCTAAGTTGAAACCCACTTTTGAAATTAGAGAAGTCGTTCACAATTTTTGTGAACTTCGTTTTTTTCGCTCTTCGTTAGTGGAGTTCCCTTTTAACAAAAGATATGAACTGAACTGAAACAGAAATCAAAAGTAAAACCGCGCAAAACTACAAGACTTTACCTGAAAAAAAATTACTACGCCATATTAAAAGTCTGAACTACGTTTATCGACTCTGGAGCTTTCAGTACTGCTATATCGGTTTGCATGGAAAATAATACCTATTATTAACTGTCTTTCAAACCCAAAACGAAATACCGCTGCGTAAATGCGACAATACTTCAATTTTTACATCCCAAATAATCAGAGCAAACAAATTTAAAAAAATTTTTTGCCGTAATAAAATTACTAGATTCAAATCACTCTACGACTATAAGCTATCTGAAAAGTAACAAAATGACCAGAACAATTGAATTAACCCAGGACATAACTGACAACTCTCTTTAGGATCAAAAAGTCGTCAATTCGGATCTCTATAAACTATTTCCTCTCCCTCTATGATGCTTAGTTAAGAACGTCAACTATTTTAACGACTAATTCAAACAATAAAAACGCCCAAATAAGAATCCGAGTAACTAGTTTCCACCTTGTTGCAATAGGGTGGGGATAGTTAAAGAAGTCCATAATTCATTAATAGTCAATTCCATGCAAACATTATTTTGTACACCTTCAACTTTATTGCACGAACTATCACTTGTATAATTGAGTTGAAAACATGAATTCTTTACAACAGTAATATCAACTTGTAAGGTCTCCAACAAATTCCTACAATTAACTACTAGAATTTAAAAAACTAAATGATCTGGGAGCACTTTGTTAACCAGCCATGGATCAGAAATAATTGGGATAGAATTTTTTCGCAATCGACTTCCTGAAAGTTAGAAGCCCCGACCACCTCAGTCAGCAAAAATATATACAAATTCTCAGTCGAAAAATAAGTTTTCCCTATCTCATGTAAATTTATCTTTCTGTTTATTTGTTAATTGATGAATAAGACTTCACGCCGTCTCCTGTTTCGGCAGAAGGTGCAGTACTAGTGATGACTTCCTTGTTCGTTGAGCCAATTTGCTGTGTTACAAGTTCAGGCGGTCTTCTAGGGTTGATGGGTTCTGTGAGTCCATCATTTTTGGGAAACAAACACATGCTCTGCCAACATGGGCACATAGAATACACTGAAGGCGAATGTTTACCTAAAAATCAGATTATATTATTATGATATTATGATACACAGATACTTTGCAGCGCTTCAAACACAAATAAGTATCAAAAATTGGCAAGCAAACAATCTTCAGAATATTTACATCTCAAAAACACCAACTTTTTTCAAGAAATATTAAATTGTAGTGTCGTAGAACAATTTATATCATCGTAAATCTGTTGCATCAAAATCAATAGGTGATAATATTAACCGACTTTAAGTTCTAAAACTCAGAACCCCACTTTGAAATTTTAAAAAATGCGTGCAATTTATAGAAAAATTTCACTACGTTCATCAAACAGTTCGGAAAGCGTCAATGAAATCAAGAAAGCCCCACAAAACGAAACAAATCATTTTTTTTTTCATTCTTAAACTTAAATTTCATAAAACAATTGATTCGCTGAAACGCTCTGGACACTTCAAATTGAATTGATTGGCAAAAAACGGGTTAAAAAAAACAAAAAATTGATGTATTTTTTTATTCCGCTGGGATTTCTAAGAAATCAATCACTTCTGAAACTATGCATTAGGCGCAAATCTTTATACCATGTTTACTATTAGAATGGAGAAGGTAACTTGAGCGTACTTCGATTGAAGAAATTTACAAATTCTCTTCAAAAATAGCTTAAATAGAACAAGGATAGCCGCTGCTGTGCATGGCGCACAGAATAATTTGACCATATTCTTAAAAAACAACAAAAAATTTTTCTAAATCAATTTGTTTTTTTTCTTGTTTTTGTGCCTGGTGTGATAAAAATTTCTGAAAAAAAGTTCTGTTTCTCATAGTAAGATAGGCATATTGGAAAACCGAAAAAAAAAACGAAAAAAAAGCGAAAAAAAAACTAGAAACAAATGATTTTTTTAAAATAATTTGCAGAAATTTCTTTGAATTTTTGAAGTTTTTTGAAATTTTTTACCGAATTTAACAGGGCTTGTATATAATGTTTTAGCTCATTTACTACAAAATTTTCTACTACAAGCCTGCTCGCTTTACTCGCTCAAAACTAGACAAAAAATCAAAAATTTCAAACCGGTTTTTCTTGGCACTGAGAAAACTTTTTCAAAGATATTGCGACTGAAATGGTATGATATATCACTCAACCCAGTCCGATGATTATTTGTGCTACCTGATTTTGCGTCAAAAACAAAAAAAAAACGAAGCATACCCGAATACAAAGTTCTTTCCACTTTCAATGGCCGGAACAAAAATGAGCCTGATCAATTTGTAAGACCCAAACTGAAAGAAAGCACACGACTATAACAAGTGGAAATTTAATACGATCAATATAATAATCAATCAATTTGTCTTTAGCAAGGCAACCGACTCAAATATTTTTTTACTGAACTCAAAAGTAAAAATTAAAAAATTAAAATTTAATTTATAAAAGCATAATCACAAACTCAATGTTTATAATAAATCGTATGGCACGAGCCTTTTACATCTGAGGTTAATGCAAAATTTGCGCAAACTTCTCCCAACAAATTTTGAATTCTGAAACCTCCGAAACTTGCAGAAAAAAGATCATATGAGTGACAGTCACGCTCTCAAACACCAGAAGCAATTAAAAGCAAGAACTTAAAGCAATCCAGATTTGCATTGATTTTTGAATGAATTAAAAAGAATAAAATATGTTTGAGAACTGTAATACAATAACTGAAGTAGAACTGTGGAAGAAAAAGAACAAAAGTTTTTCAATTTTTTGTAAAAATAGACAAAAATTAAATTGCTGGTCTCATTGATACAGTCAAATTCTAACAAAAATAAGATGCTGTACAACTTAAAGAAGTTTATATCAAGGAAAATCAAGACTCTGTCAATTTATTTTGATTATTTACTTTTGCTTTTCTTTTTGCTATTAGGGGTATATCACAGTACTTAGACAATGGTTGAATTCAGGGGCAGATTTAGGGCCCCCCCCCCCCCCCTCCTCTCAGGGATTCGACCCCCTGCCGACCCAAAGGGTCCCCCCTTTGGTACTTTTAAGAAATTCAGTTTTGGCCGACCAACCCAAAAATTTTTCTAAAGGCGCCTTGGCGCCAATATATACTAAATTTAAGGGGGGAGCGCGCAAAATTTAGCCAAAATAGGGACTAAGCAGGCTTACGGAGGAGCTCGAAAAATCAATTCGGTCGATCTAAAAAAAAAAGGTCGACAAAATTTTTGAAAATTTTTTGAAAATCCGCCCCCCCTCGAGAAAATCCTAGATCCGCCCCTGGTTGAATTATACATAAAATTTGCTCGTTAAAAGCGATTAAAACATCTATGCTTTTTGGTCAATAATCCGGAAAGTTTCTGTTTTTTATAAAGATGATCGTTTAGAAGCGGTAATTTTTTGCTCAGAGGCGTCACATTGACAGGTAATTGCCCTATTCTCAACCTCTCAAGATTGTTTGTATTAAACTTCACTTGGAAACTGATTCATATTCTACGGTTAAAGGACGTTGCTTGGAACAACAAAAATTTCAGTTGCATAACTGAAACACTATTGAAATGCACCTCGGTAAAAGCAAGAAAATGCCATCTTAAGCTAAACAAGAAACAGGAAGAAGTTTTCATATCACCTATAAAAATCATTAAAACTAGTAACGACTAATAAACTTCACCTGAAAAAGTTCAGACATCTAAAAATGATTATTTATTGTTAAGGTCATACCCGCATCCAAGTTTAGGCGTACGTAATCGATTATAACGGATCATTATGAAGATTTTTTGACAATTATAATTGATTATAATTACCAAAAATAGGTGTTCAAAGGATTTATAATTGATAAAATCGTGATATTTTCCAAGAGATTATAATCTCTTATAATCGATATAATTGATTATAGTTTTTACAAAAACCCTTAAAATCAATTATAATCGATTATAATCTCTTATTTTGCTAAAACTTTGTCGATTCAAAACTATATTCGAATTATATCTTATGGGCTATTATTTTTGTGTCAATGAGAAAATCTCTAAAAGAGAGATCTCTTGAACACTTTGGTTCATCTGAACACAAAGTTTAACCACGAAACAAAAGTTTCATAGAGATCCTTTCATATGAGTGGAAAGGTTCCGGCGGTAAATGAAAAAAAAAATCTTCCGAATCAATCATGAAACTAAATCAATTTGCTGATGTTTTGGTGTTTAGAAACGCTTAAAATGTTTATCACAAAACAACTCTAATGGGAAAAAAATGAAAAAAAAAAACTTATAAATTTGAATTAATTCGAAAACTTTTTCTTATTTTTCATAGGAACCAACGTCTACAAAAAGCATAAAATATAAGCAATTTAGATGCAACTTCGAAGACAAAATGGACAAACAAAAGGAATTATAAGCAATTATAACCGATTATAATGGATTATAATCGATTATAATTGTAACAAAAAATAGACGAATAAATAATCGATTATAATCGATTATGATGGATTATAATTAGTTATAATTTGATTTTAAAAAGAGAGATTATAATCGATTATTAATTGATGAAAATCGATTGTTTCTCAATTTTAGTAAGACTGGTATCGATTATTATTAATGCTTGAAACTGGATGCGGGTAGATTCAAGAAGGACAAAGAAATAAAATTCGAGCCAAAATACATCTTGTGTAAGTAGTACTCACTAGCATCGTGTTTGGAAATGAACTGGAATGCGACTACTACAGCCAGTAGCAGCAAAATAAGGCCCAGAATGCTTGCCGCTAACTCATAGAAGATCAGCGCCACTGGTCCAATCACGTCAAACAGCTAAAACAACGAGACGACACCAGTCAATTGTCTGGTTTTAACAAAAACAATTGAAAATATAACAAAATTTCATATCTGAAACAATCGATAAGCTCCTTTTTTGATGAAAACTGAAGCCTCTTATCCATAATTGTAGGAAACAATTCTGAGGACATAGATTTTATTAAATAAAGAATTATATTCTTACCCATCCAACTAATAGAGGAGTGCACATCTCTCCTGCAGCTGCCAGCATGACCAATACACTCGTCATGAAACCTAAACAAAAAATATGCCAGATCAGTAACGGACTTGATGGGAGGAGGGAAGGAGACGCTAACTTTCTCAAAGATTTTTTTTTTCATTTTCCCCGTACGAGCTTCCCACCTTTCAACCTTGTACATTTTTATTCCGTTAGAGAGAGAGAGAGAGAGAGAGAGAGAGAGATGTCATCCATTTTGGCGCAGCCGGTCCCACCTTGAGGAGGCGGATGACCCCTCCAATCGTGACTGACGCCGGGTTTGAACGCACGACCTGTTGAAGGACGAGCATGTTACCCACTCGGCCACGGCCTCTCAAGCGTTTCGACATAGATTCGACAGACTTTCTCAGGGTTTCGACATGCTGGCCACCAAAAGGGACTAATTCAGACATCCATTTTTGGCTAGCCGAACTTTAAAAATTTCTGAACCAAAAAAGGTGAAAATATACTATTTTGAGAGGGGACCAAAAAAAAGGAATTTTTTGGTTAAATATTTCCAAAATGTGCCTTAAAATGTCTTTTTTGGCCTGATCCTTTAAAAATTGCCTGATTGTCGTGGTTTAAGGTACTTAAACCAAGACAATCAAGCGATTTTAAACGATCAGGCCAAAAAAGACATTTTAAGGCAAATTTTGGAAATATATGACCAAAAAAAAATCCTTTTTATTGGCACACGCTCCCCTCTCAAAATAGTATATTATCGCTTTTTTTGGTTCAGAATTTTTTTTTGGTTCGACTAGCCAAAAAAGAATGAATTTTATCAAGACAGGCTCGTGTTTTGGAAGAGCTTGGTATATCAAATTGCTCAACAAAAAAGTTCGACCAAATTTTTGAACATCGTTTTAAGATTCACCCTCGAGAAAAACTTAAATACGTCCCTGCATCAGATGACATCGTTTTTTAAGGATGGCAAACGTCAAAATGCACAAAAACGAATTTAAAAATTTTTAAGCTATTTACTTTTTTCGCCAGTTCTGACTATTTTGACTTTGATAAGGTTTTCAGCCATGTGAACAAAAACGTTAACATAGTTAACATAACAAACATGCAGTTAAGAAAACAAACATGAAACTAATTTAAACAAAGTTTTCGCTTTTCAAAAAACATCATAATACCTTAAAGCTCGTTGAATATCGACATTATTCTGAGAAACACGCTTTTTTCCCGTTTAATCTTTTTCAGTATTTTTCATCTAGTTTTGAATCTAAAGTCAAGCTACCTTTTGGAGTCATTGGTCAATGAAAAACATATTTTGCCCCCAAATGAGTTTGAAAACCAAGTTTCAAACACCGAGGCGAAGCAGAGCAATACAAAAATATACTTATGCCAGAAAAAAAACTAAATAAAAAAAGTAAAAAAAGTCGACCATAAAATATCTAACGCTTTCTTATACCGAAAAATGAGAAACTTCAAATAATTGTAAAACCTCGTTCAAATGGTAATCCCAAAACATTTTAAAACTGAAATTCTTAGAGCTAAAGCAACCGCATCACCATCAGCAAACATTTGGGGTATCATAAAAATCCATTCATTGCTTCCTTATTGCTTCCTAAGGCAATTGCGAGAACAACATTATTGTGAAAAAACAACAAAAGTTAATATAAAACAATGCCTGCTCAGGGACTAAATGACCTTCACCATTGAGAGCATCTTTGATGTCAATAAAAGCCATCAGATTTCAATAGCTAAAAAACCTATAAATAAGACAGTATTGAAAAATATTACAAAAGTCAACAAATAGTTTGAAAAGATTCAATTTATCCAAAGAGTCAAATATGTTTAAACGGAATGCCTTTGAACTTCAAAAAAAAGATGGCTTTAAAGCTCTCTGAAGTTCTAAAATAATTTATTCTTGAAACTAGAAGTCGATCACGTTTTTTGTGAAAATTACACTTTTGCTTTTTGTCAGTGGAGTTTGCCTTCCTGTTAACAAACAAGTTAGCACCGCCCAAGTCAAACCGCCAAATATATATATATTTGAGCCTGAATAAAGTTGTAGACTTTTCCTTAAAAAAATATCGATTCTAAACAACAATGAGTGCCGACTGCTAAACAAGAAACTAGCACACATTGGTCTGGCCTAATCAAAGAAAAACTCAATTTTTCAGTTTTTTTCCCAGTTTTTATTTTAGAAAAAGCTATTGAAACTGTTGAAAAACTGGGCACTTTTATCCCATATTTTTGTCCAATTTTTTATGTAATTTATTCTGAGAAACAAAAACATGCAGACCAGTTTTTGTGACGACTTTTTGAAAACTTTTTCTTTCCAAACACGACTAATCACAACTAAACCAAACCTTCGAGAGTGGTCGAAACAATGAACTCATATCAAACTCATGTAAACTTTTCCGAGAATTTGTCCAAGACAGAAATATTATCTTTTTGTTTCATTCGCCAAAAAAATGCCGGAAAACATCAAAACAGGAAAGAAAAGAGAACTAACACATCCTGAAATCTGTAAAAAAAAACGTGTGTACAAGAGAGATTTTTAATATTGAACAAAACCCATGAAAGTATTACGCGCTCCTGGAAATTGAAGAAAATGAACTGAAGAAAAATATCAGCCTACTCAATAAGCTAGCAAAAAAGGGACGAAATACATGAAGCCGGAAAACTTTCAACTTACTTTCGAAGAAAAAATTATCAATTCTAGCTCTAGAAACAACACTAGTGCCTTACGCAAAAGATATTAACTGTCAAGCAGTTCCTGGCTGTATTCGAATCTGAGCCTTCCAAAACAGGGTTGATACCTCTGCGCTAACTGAGCAGAACCAAACGATGAAATCAAATTATTATCATTCAAGCCATCCAAGGATTTGTGATTGCGTTAGAGGAGAAGAGGTTATCCCGACAATGTTACACTGATAAAAACCTATGTTCCGATTTGGCAATGCTTGTTAATTGCGAGCGTACAGAGGCAATTTTTAAACCATCAAGTTATAAAACTGCGCATAAACTTAGTTGTTTTTCCAAAAAAAAATGCAACCACGAGCCCTAAGTAATTGGAACTTCACTTCGTTCATTTAGAGTTCAAAATGAGTTTTTCAAATGATTGTTTTTTGTAATAAAGTTCCCAGCGCTATATTTATTGTAGTATAATTTGAAATTACTAGCAATCAAACCATTCTTGATTTGCGATTGTGTTAGAGAAAAAATTATCCGAACGATTTTAACCTGAAAAACCTTTGTTCTAAAATTTGAGAATGCTTGTTAATCTCGAGTGTAAAATGTAAAACGGTAAATCGCCAGACTTGAAAACCATAAAACTGCGCGTAAACATATTTCTTTTTCCAAACAAAAACCGGGAGCCCTAAACAATTGGAACTTTTCTTTAGATTGTTCATTTAGATTTCAAAATGAGTTTTTCAAATGACAGTTTTTTGTAAAAGAATTATCTACGGCATATTAATCAAGTACACTTTTAAAATAGAAATACTAGCAATCAAACCATCCCAGGATTTGCGATTATGTTAGAGAAGAAGTTATCCCGACGATGTCATCCTGAAAAAAAATCTATGTTCCGATTTGACAATCCTTGTTAATCTGGAGCGTAAAGAGGCCAATCTTCAAGCCACGAAATTATTCACAGAGGCGACGCTGAGCTTCGCACCACTTGCAATACAACAAATATAGGCTTAAAACAGCATGAAGCTCAACAATTAGCAAAAATGACTTCCAACTAGATTACATTTGAAGCAAAAAATCAGGAAAAACTAAGTATTTTAGGAAGTCCCATTGGTTTTCGATTTGCGCATTCAAATTTTGGCACCTCGGTTTTTTCGTTCTCACATATAATATCGGAAAATTGTAGGAAACAAGATATTTGGTAAATAAGACGACGGACTTAAGACGGCAGCCAATAGGCTGAAACTCAACCGAATTATTTTGGCTAAAAAAATCAAAGAAAAACCATGTACAGCCCATATATTAATCACGATTGCCATACATAAAATGCATATAGTTTTAACAAAACACATGCCCAGATAACAGAATACGGAATTGGAAATCTTAATAAGCAGTGACAAACCCAAAAATTCTGAGCAAAAACACTTCAACCTGAAAAAGTTTCAAAAAAATTTAAACAAAAAGCTTCCCCTCTCCCTCAAAACACACACGCACAAAAAAAGTTTTTGTTCATGAAACGGCGCAAAATGAGGCCACTAATGCAATAAATAATAAGCCAAAACCTATCAAACTAAAACATAGGACAAAAAAATCCGAAAAAAAAAGTTTCGAAAAAATAGAAAAAAAAAGTAAAACAATTTAAGTTCTCCTCTCCTCAAAACACACACGCGTACAGAGAAAACTTTTTTCGTGTCAAAAATCTCAATATGAGGCCACTAAGCTAATATAACATAGGCTGAAACCTATAAGACCCAATAAAAAACGTTTTAAAAAACCAAATTGGAAAATTACAACCAACATAAAAAGCAAGTTTTGAAAAACAAAAATATTTAAAACACTATCAATCTCAAAACATGCTTACTATTTGCAATAGAGAGGGGGTAGGATTTGCAACGAGGAGGAAGAGCCGAAAGAGTTCAGGAGTGAGTCTGTGAAAAAAAAATTATTTACGGTGAAAAGGTCTAGTACCAGATTGCAATACCCTGGCTTATCGGAAGATTAATAACTGCGCATAAACAGATTTCAGACTTTTTCCAAAAAATTACAACGAGCTTCACCTAACTGAAACTTCACTGCGTTCATTATAGCTAAAAATGAGTTCTTGAAGTGATAACTTTTTGTATTAGGATGCTCTTGCGCTGTATGTGGGTGTTCGGTGCGATGCTTTGGGGTACATACTTGATATAGAACAGTACTCCTCTGCCATTGAAATGCCTGAGGGGTAGATGGAGGAGAGGAAGAGTCCGAAGAGGGATGTGGACACAAAGATGATGGGCACACTCTCTCGGAACATGAAGAACAGCACCATCGCCATACCACTCCCACACTATACACACAACACAAAACAACCCAAACTAAATTACAAACATATAAACATTTATCGAATTTGGCTTGTTTCATTTCGTTTATTAACATGAATTAGCTACAATGGAAAATATTTAAAGCAAGAGCTAACCAGGGGAGGATCTGAGACTTTCTCGCGTCTTTCGGTGCGCGCTCCCGTTCAAAATTACTATATGTTAGCTCCTAAACTACTATATGTAATTATATGAAAAATTTAGGTTTAATAAGGTCAAAAAAGGATGCCATAAAATATTACCAAAGGGGGGGGGGGCTTTGGTTGGAGAGGGGTCGAATCCCTGAGTCGGAGGCGTCCCCCCATCCTAAACCCATCCCTGGGCAAGCCCCATCTCTTTGCGGAGAACCACTGCCTCTCGTTTAGATAAGTATGCACTTTTTTACGTTTTGTTTTTTTCTGGGACGTGAAAAACTTACTCACGTTCAAGCAAAGAATGATTATTATGTTTCTTTGATTCAGTGCTTAAACGATGAGTTAAATTGCTTTATTCGTTACTCAATTAGTTTTAATCAACTATACAGTTCAACGCAATACTTACCAGGTTGATGAAGAGCATGACTGGACTTGAGATGAGGGTTGAGAGGGGAATTGATAAGAGACGACCCAAAGCAAAGGAGCCCCAGAATGAAGCTGTCAGATAGGCTCCTGTCGTGGTAGACATCGTGATCTTCTCGTTTCGCGCAGAGTACGAGTAGATGTAACCGCCGTATGCCGCCTGTAACCATGACGCCGCAAATAAGATCAAAGCACGTAACAAAATAGTTTGAAAATAAAATGACACTCAAACTCCACTTGAAAACCATTGTGTTTTGCAACATCGTTTTTTTACCTGTGCAGCATCGGCGAAGAAAAGCACAAGTCCGATCATGGCGATGACGGAGTAGTATATCCACGGGGGGATGTTGTTAATGCACTCGGGGCCATGTTGACTACCACTCGGCTTTCTACCAGGCACATTTTCACTGTCGAAATTGGAAGAGACGACATCAGTACTCTGAGAGTCAGTGCACCTCGTGGCTAAACAGATTTGACTATAATAATAATAAAACATAATTTGGGGTACCGCCCAGGGGAGTTCCAGTTTTCCTAATTTCATATGAGTTTATTTTGGTTTTTTCAGTTTTGACAGATAATTGTCAGTTTTCATGTGCACATGTCTTCGAGATTATATTTATCAACTAAATATCTTTGAACACTTCATCTATTATATTCGTCGGATGTTCTATTTCATCAAGATTGAACCCAACTGTGCTCTGTATTTGCTTAGAATGTACCTCTCGTCCGAATTCGCTTTCTTGTTTTTGCTTCGACAATTTTCGCGTTTTAAGCAATTTGAAATCTTGCGCTCTCGTATTTTGTTCCGAGAGATTATGTAGAGAGTTGGAGGAAAGTGGAGCAAACAGAAATTGATTGAAACGTGCAATCTGCTAGTTTTAAAACATAGCCAACAGACAGTTGGAAAAGAGTCAATGAACACAAGGAAACAGAAAATAGTACACTTGTTTTTTGAAAAAATTTTAACTTTCGAATTTCAAAGCAAAAATTAGATGGTCCACAACTCTTTGAATTTCAGGAACAATTTATTTTAAATTTTTAATTGTAGGAGAAACTGATTATTTGGTAAAGTTTTTATTCGCAGGGAAAACTGAAAACCAAATTTCGAAACTAAAAGTCGATGATACTTTTCGTGACCTTTGCACCGTTAACAAAGTTTAAGACTTTTTCCTGAAAAAAATCATCACAATCTATATAAGAGCATGAACCACTAGCATCGACTTTCAACAAATTTCGCTTTTAATAGTGTTTTTTCAAGCTACCTACCTCAACTCCAAGTTTAGTTTGGAATGAAACAGTTTCGAATTAAATTAAACTTTGTTAATTTTGTCAAATTTGCCAAATGTCTTCTGGCTACTTATTGCACAGAATACAGAGACAAAGCTGGAATTCGCAAATTTAATTAGGGCATAGTATATTACAAATTTATCGGGCGTTTTAAATTTTTGAAATAATTCATCCCGTTACTGGCTAATCGTCTAGACAATTCTTGTTGAAATTTTCCGCCTGCTTTTACTGTAGGTTTTTTTTTGGTCTGACAAAATTCGTGCAAATGTTTTTTGAGGAAAAAAAATTTGTGTAAAAATTGGCTATAATCGTGAAGCCCTGGAAAAAACGCTATTGATTGGCCATTTGAATTATTCAATTGCAATTTCAAAAGATTTACTTTCCGTTATAACACTATTTCATAGTTTCATGGTCAGACTTAAATCAAGCAATAAAGAAGATGACCGATAAACTTTTTATAAACTCTTTCAGATATACTAGGTCATATTTATTTGCCTTTTGCCAACTGAAAATGATGGTCATAGTAAAATCAATTTACTTTACTGATACTTACAATTTGTCTCATCTAGATCCTCGTACTTCGTTTTCTTGTTTCTGGCAGATTTTTTGGCTTTTTCGTAGCAATCACTGTCCAATATAATGACTGCAATCAACAACAAGCTTGCCGGAATCTGAAGCAGTAACAGGCCGACTATTGAATGAATTAATTAAATCACGATCAAATAAATAATGCGTATCTGATTCAAAAAATTAATTCGTAGCAACGCCACTATTCAAAATACATTCGGCATTTCATTAAGAGTTCAAACTAAGTACTTTGAGAATTGTAAGCGGATTCGGGATACCTTGAAAAACACAATTAAGATGGTTGTTTTTTATTATGGGTTTTTGGTTACTAGTAAAAGTTTGCCATATCCATCGGAGATAAATCCACATTTTCCTGAACTCCTTATTTCTCATATCTTGAAAAAGACAATTAAAATGTTCAAAATAAGTTCAGAACATTTTCGGAGAGCTAAGAGTCTATATCGTTTAAATTAGGCTCAACGACAAACTTCTTGATCTGTGATCTTTTTTTTCTGTGGACGTAGAGCTTTCGAATGATGTCATTTGATAGATGCAAAAACAACAGGTGGCATCATATGTTTTGAAATTGTGTTCGATTTTATTTTTCGACTTTATGTTTTGACCGACTTGACATTATGTTTCGATTTTGTGTTCGACTTTATGTTTCGAAAACGTGTTACATTTTATGTTACGACTTTAGGTCTCGGCCGACTTGAGTTTATGTTCGACTTTGAGTTCGCTTTTATGTTTCGATCAACTCGACCTTATGTTTCGAAAATGTGGTACATTTTATGGTACGACTTTATGTTTCGACTTTGAGTTCGACTATATGGCTTTTTGACTATACATTTTCGGTCAAACTCTGACCCGCAATTTATTTATGTATATTTGTATTTAAATATTTCGAACACGCTGCGACTAATTTTTCGACCATGCCGCGACTAGTTTTTCGACCACCGCGACTAACTTTTTGAACATGCCGCGACAAATTATTTGACCGCCGCGACCGAGGTACAGTATTTCCGAGTTTGTCCGCAATTTAAAATCCTTTCCAGACTATGGATTTTGGATCGCCGAATTAGTTGGGTTATTTTAATTTTTATTCAAAGTTCAGAGCAAATCATCGATAAATTATCGATAAAATGTTATGAAAACTTTTACATCATGCATGAATTATTGCTGTTTCATCGCTAAAAACTTGATAATTTTTCCAGCGCTAAATTAGCGATAATCCATCTATTAAAAAAATGATAATTTTCTAGCGTTAAATTAGCGATAATCCATCTATTAAAAAGTTGATAATTTTCCAGCGTTAAATTAGCGATAATCAATCGATAAATTTTGCCATTGTGGCAATGAACATCGATAATTCCTCGATGGCGGTCGCTGTTTTTTTTCATCACTTTTTTATCTTTAATTTTCAATGTGAGCTCAACCCGGTATGATCAAATTTAATTATTTAAGCTCAGGGCATTAGAGCAGTTGAAAAATTTATCAATTCAGTTCGGAAAAGCTTCAAACTGTAGCGATCACAGCGATTAGCACCATAAGTTCTCTTTGTTGTTGATTTGGAGGATCTATGAAACTCCACTCAACCCTCCGACTTCTGCTAACTGTAGAGCTAGCAGTTATACTGCAAAGAACCGGACTATTTTCATCCAAACAAGATATTATAGATTTTGAAAATAAACTCTGACAGCTACTTTTCATTTTTATCAACGAGATTTTTATATTTTCATTAAAAATACAAAACGCCATTACAAGGCCAAATTGTGCATTCTCTGCCTTGTAAGCGGAATCCGCAACAGGCCAAAATCAGATTTGTCGCAGAATCTGCAACATTGATACTTTTCTTTGATATTCTATGCTGTTTTGGATACAACAAACAAATACCTAAATCATTGTACCGATCAAAATCGCTCGAAAAATAGGCGAATTTGCGGAATCCGCAACTGTATTTGCGTAATCCAGAACAGTTTGTGGAATCCACAACCAAATGATAAAACAATTGTATCATTGAACTGAGCTGTTGCGGAATCCGCAGCTGCAAGTGGAATCCGCAAATTGTAAGTGGAATCCGCAAATTGTAAGTGGAATACGCATTTTGTTTGCGGGTTCCCTTTTTATATATTTATATGTGTAGTAGCCTTTAAAATTGTATCTTTTAAATACATGATTTGATTTCACTAGAATAGAAATTTACTAGAATAGAAATTTACTAGAATAGATCAGTGTTTGGGATTCAATGGAATCTCAATTACTGACGGATCCCGCTATACGTTGGGTTTCTAATCACTCTCAACATAATGACTCCAAAAATGGATATTTTCCATATTTATTCCACATTATTCCAGTTTTTTGGGATTTCATCAATCGCAAATACTGACCAGTATTTGGGATGGATGGAGTCCCAAATACTGAACTAAATCGACGGTCTGCTATGCGTTGGGTTTCTAATCACTATCAACCTAATGACTCCAAAAATGGATATATTCCAAATTTATGCCACATTATTCCAGTTTTTGGGGATTCAATCAATCCCAAATACTGACCAGTATTTAGGATCGACGGAATCCCAAATACTGACCTAATTTGGCGATATGCTGTGTGATGTGTTGCCATACACTCTCAACCCAATGACTACAATTACTGCATTTATTCGGCGTTATGCTTCCAAAATCAGTATTTGAGATTGACGCAATACCAAATACTGACCTAATTTGTCGGTATGCTGTGTTTTCCATACACTCTCAACTCAATGACTCCAAATATTGAAATTGTTTGGTGTTGTGTTTCCAAAATACTAAAAGATGACATTCAGCTATTTAGGTAACCAATGTTTTTAGACTTGTTCGTGGATTCCGCTGACAATGGTTAAGTCTTTGCTTTTAAATTCCGCATTGCTAAAGATAAAAATTATAGCTCAGCTTTTAATTGTTCATATGCAAGTTCAGTATTGAACAAAATTCGGAATCCACTTACAGTTTGCGGAATCCACTTACATTTGCGGATCCCGCTTACATTTTGCGGAATCCACTTACAGTTGCAGAATCTAGAACAACTAGCTATATTTACTTGTTGCGGAATCCGCAACAAAACAAATGTGCCGACAAAATTTACGTTACATGTATATGTATGCGGAATCCACTGACATTTTGGAACATATTTTAAGACTTTTCTCTGGAATTCAGGAACATCCAGACACAAAAATATGCTCCTATCCAGTGCACAGTTTGGCCTCGTAATGGCATCAAACAATAGTTTTACTGTGTTTTAGACATTCCCTTGATTCTTTTGTTTTTGTAACTCCAGCTTTCAGAACTCTTTTTCTGTTTTCTGTTCTTTTGTTTTGATTTTTTTGTTTTTGTATCTCCTGCTTTCAGAAATCTGCTTCTGTTTTCTGGTTTTTTGTTCAGTTTTACTCAATGCTTACTTCAAATCATAATTATGCGAGTCGCCACCTAATTTTTTCACCAAAAGCTATCGGCTATTTTAAATGAAGCTCTATAATTGTATGTAGTTTCCACTCACATCGTGTTTCATTCAGCTTGTGTTTCATTAATTCAAAAGATCAAGTTAACAACCCCTCCCCCAAATAGACCAATTTAAGATCCTCCACCCCAGCGTTCATTTTAATTTAAATTTACTTTGCGCTGCATGTAAAATGCTCTATTCTGATTGACTGAAAATGCGAACTCAGAACCAAGTTAACATCCCATAAACGAAATTGGGGAGGGGTAGGATGTTGGTAATTTGATCCCATTCAAGCATAGTCTCTCCAGGGTGCGGGTATTTCTCCAATTTTTCAATAACAGTTTAGTTAGCCGTGCCATAGATAAGTGCTCCATATTCGAATACAGGCCATTTTTGAAAGTTTCAAGTAGTTGCAACTACTTGAAATTTTCAAACAGGGCCTGTATTCGAATATCGAAGCACTTATCTATGGCACGGGGGGGTTGGAAATTGGAAAAGAGTCCATTTATGTGGTTCACTTTCTTGTTCTTCAACATCTGGCACGTGTTTTAGTTAAAATATTGAAAATAAAACATTTCAATAAGTCTTTCTTTTAAACAGCTTGTTTTTTCGCCTTGTTTCCGAGAAAAATTGATTAAAACTGTTTTTATTACCCTCGAATTGATCTGCCCGGGGGTCTTTTTGAATCGTTTAGTGAGTGGAATTTTATCCAACAAAAACTTGGAAACCAGATCTGAGCATCTTAAAATCTTGCCTATTTCAGATCTTGTCCAGACATGGTGCATATTTCGTTTGGACAGGGACATGTCTGAATCAGGACTGAGGCAGGTATGGATTCTATCTCAAAAGCAGATCTTCTCAAGGCCTGATTCAGACCTAGTACATATATGGGTCAGATCTGAACCAGATCTGAGTAGATCTGCACCAGGTCTGAGCAGATCTGTACCAGGTCTGACCCATGTATGCTCCAGGTCTGAATCAGGCCTTGAGAAGATCTGCTTTTGCGATAGAATCCATACCTGCCTCAGTCCTGATTCAGACATGTCCATGTCCAAACGAAATATGCACCATGTCTGGACAAGAACTGAAATAGGCAAGATTTTAAGATGCTCAGATCTGGTTTCAAAATTTTTGTTAGGTACGGATGCTCCCTTTTAAATATTTTTCCAATGGGTACAGAGTTTGCATAAAACATTTCTGTCATTCCTAACTTCTCAGAAAAAAAAACAAAAACAAAATTCAAATCAAATTGCCTTTTTTTTGCTTAAAACCTTTATTTTATTTGTTTTGCTCTTTGGAAGATTGCTACAATATCCGCGCATTCTTTTTTTTTGCTAGTTTGCTGTTTGCTTAAATATGCATGAGTTATGTAAATTCCGCATTGCCAAAGATAAAAATTATAGCTCAGCTTTTAATTGTTCATATGCAAGTTCAGTATTGAACAAAATTCGGAATCCACTTACAGTTTGCGGAATCCACTTACATTTGCGGATCCCGCTTACATTTTGCGGAATCCACTTACAGTTGCAGAATCTAGAACAACTAGCTATATTTACTTGTTGCGGAATCCGCAACAAAGCAAATGTGCCGACAAAATTTACGTTACAGGTATATGTATGCGGAATCCACT